TATAATTACATTGCTAAGGTTCTCGCCCAAGAAATACCTCCTTTCTCTGCTAACTGGTGAAAAGAGTGTGGCAAAATTTGAGTGGTCTATATATATGGTAATATGTATACATATTTTTCCTCCTAGCAATTTACTTATAGTAGTGAGATTAAATGTAAGCAGAGGCACCTACTTTTCATTTGAAAGAAGTGTGGTTTAGGAATTCAAACTATTTTTTTGTTCTGAGTGGTCTGAGCTTATGTCAGCAGATTTAACATTCAATGGACTTGAAACTCAATCAAAATTGAGTTGTTTACTGAAGCAAATAAATTTCTTTTTCAAATCAATTATGCCGCATACCTAATTTTACGAGTGTTTTACAATTCTGAACATTGTAAAAGCTTAATTAAGAAGTAGCTCAGTAGACACTTAACATTATTAATACAATCTACCAAAAGTGTCAAACATTTTCACAGACCTTGTGCCACTTCCAAAAAAAGGAGAAAAGAAAAAAGACAACATAGAGTACTGTCATGATATTCCATTTTCTCCCAATTAATCACTCCTTAACAATTAAATCAAATTCATCAGATTTTTCATTCAGAGAGGTATTTTTTTCTGAATACTTTTTGTGGCAACCATCAGAAATCATTGTTGCAATAATTTTGCTAAGGTTTCTCTTTTACTACTACTGTTTAAGATAAATGTTCTTGTTTTTAGGATAAGAAATTATGGACATTTAGTTTCACAGTTTTCAAGGAAAATTGTATTGTTATTAATTGTTTTCTGTGTTACAAATTTAACTGGCAGAAGGTGAATCTAGGGATTTTTTTTTCTTTTATAAGGATTACGTAAATAGTTTTTTGGAATTTTTGTGATTTTTTTTCTTCTGTATTTGTACGAGGGTATTTAAGGGTTGATGACAATTATTTTCTGAATAATCATAAATTAACTTTTGTGCCACACCACATACACTGTCATTATAATATTCATAGGAAATGTTGTGACTTAAAGTGCCAGAACAGAATTTGACTGTTAATTATAAGATCTCAGAAAACAATTCTTATTCAAATTTATAGAATTAAATATTTGCCTCGAAACCCCTACAGTCTTCAGCTATCTGCCTGGATTTTGACAATCTTTTGAGTTATCATGATTACATTGCTAAGGTTCAATGGCAGGAACAGTGATTTAAAAATCATTCTAAAGTAAAACTTTGGAATTAGATTTAGGAAGTATTTTAATTTAAAATTAGAAACACAATTTTTTGTCATTTCTTTGTAACTAATGTAACTTTTAATGCTTTAGCTTTGGAGTGTTGTGGTGTGGCAGTGGAGAAGTAATTTATTGTAAATAACTTTGTTTTTTATGGGGCACTTCAGAATTGGTGGCTTGAAGCAAATTTGGCTCTTTGGGGGCTGAGCTTTGTGACTTTGGGTTAGAATTGCAGCATTTGGTATATTGAAATGATTTCACAGGAATGCACATCATGTGGAATTTGATGATAACTGTATTCGAGTAGTCTATCTTGACACAATATAGCTGTTGGTATGTAATTGTCTGTGGATTACTGTAAGCATGATGTATTTGCACCTAATCGTGAAGTGATAGCTTTTTTACAGAACGTAAGTGTTGTCAGTAGCATGCAAAGTTGTGTATCTTTGTTTGGACCTTCTCCTCCGGTGTTGAGTTCCTTGCTTCAGATCCAATCCCTATTCTCATGTCCAACAAGAAAAGAAAGAAAGAAAGAAAGAAAGAAAGAAAGAAAGAAAGAAAGAAAGAAAGAAAGAAAAAAAACCCTGTGGGATGTGTACAAAGAACAATCAATCTGTGATGTATTTGGAAATAATTGTATGCACTAAGCACGGTACTGATCGTATAGAGGTTGCTATTTGAGTTAGAGATGAATTACTGTTCATTACTGTTGCTGTTTTATCTAACAATGAAGTAGTATGTAAGATAATCATGCTGTATTCATGACAGTACCACGTAAGAGAAGGAGTATTATCCCTTTCTTTAGATTTTCGTTGTTTGGTAAGTGTTGTGTACAATGTATGTATGTCATTATTGAAATGCATATTGCTAGAAGAAGTTCTAAGAAGAAGGGATTTATTTTGAAATATTTATTTGAACTAATTCCCTTTAATGTTTCAATTTTCAATTCAATAAAGTGAAATCAATTTCAATTCAATAATGGAAAAAGTCATAAATTGATAAGACCTTCAATACGAATATTACACAGTTAATTAGAATGGTATTCTTGTAATAAGAGCTCTTTTATTTGACATCAGTACATAAGAAACATATCAGAATACTTATATCAAATATTAGAGCATCCAAATTTATTGAAGATAAGTAGGGCCTGCTGGTAAATCACATTACATATGAACAGTAAATTCTTTGTAATAATGCGTTTTGCATTGCAGAGCACGATTGTTTGAAATGACTAGAAATAAAACAGGTTAAATAGCTTGGTTTTTGAGATTACATCAGAGAAATATAAACATTTAAAATAAATTAAAAATTGTTGAGATTTGATATTGCAGCATTGACTAGACGTGATGTCCTTGCTGTAAACCCTTCATTTATTGATTTATAATTAAATGTCAACAGAATAAAATTCACTGGACAGGAATTAATAAAAAAGTAATTTAAATGAATGAAAATTGCCCCAACATCCCTAACTTCAGACATTAAATACTGCATGGTGCAGTACTTGTATAATGGCTCAAAAAATCTTACTAATTCTTCCTAAAATAAAAATCTTTTTCTAATTTACTGATGATAGGTAAATAGAGTACTTGCTCTATTTCTCATTTGACCATCTAAATTAAAATTTGTGTAACAACTTGCATATCAATATGTGCAATACATGTTTTAACATTTTCGTCTGGCATCAATGTCTTGAGAAGAACTGGC